ACACACTCTCACACACAAACACTCACACACACACTCACAGACTCACACACAAACACTCACAAACACACTCTCACACACAAACACTCACACATACTCACACACACACACACACACACACACTCATACACACTCACACACTCTCACACTTTCACACACACTCACAGACACGCACACTCAAATACACACACTCACACACAAACACACACACACACACACACACACACTCTCACACACAAACACTCACACACACACTCACAGACTCACACACAAACACTCACAAACACACTCTCACACACAAACACTCACACATACTCTCTCACACACACACACACACTCACACACACATACACACACACTCATACACACTCACACACTCTCACACACTTTCACACACACTCACAGACACGCACACTCACAAACACACACTCACACACACACACACACACACACTCACACACAAACACTCCCACACACACTCACAGACTCACACACAAACACTCACAAACACACTCTCACACACAAACACTCACACATACTCTCTCTCACACACACACACACACACACTCACGCACACACACACACACACACACACACACACACGAGTCCCGGTGACCCCTCGATTTATTGGTGGTGCCAGCAATCGTGCTTCTAAGACAAGATATCTTTAAAAAATTCCTTTCATTTAAATTTCCCATTTTCTCTACAAAGATTACGACCAGGTCCGTACATAGATAAGTAATCGCTTCGGAATACCAGGTTCTGTAAGATTGGATGGAAATGTATAGAAACCGCCATGGCCACAATGTGAGGGATCATTTTATGTATTAATTTTATAGAATTGATCCCCCAATTTATATCCACATTATAAATTCTTAATTGTTGTTAAGCAGCAGAAATCGAATCCATCAATCAATGAAATTATGAGCTACACAGGAATGTCTTTTAGATTTATTTACATTTTCTGTAATGTAAATGGATAGAAACTATCGTGGCCACAAAGTTGGGGATCATTTCATCTATTGATGTAATATAGAATTGGTCCCCCACTTCATATCCACATTATATTTTCTTGTTTGTTGATAAGTCGTAGAATCAATCAATCAATGAAATACTGATTAGCTACAAAAGCATGTCTTTTAGATTTATTTCCATTCTCTGGAATATAAATATATAGAAACTATCATCGCCACAAAGTGAGAGTTCAGTTTATATATTGTTTTAATTTAGAATTGGTCCCCGACTTTATATTCACATTTCAATTTCTTGTTTGTTGATAAGCCGTAGAAAACGAATCAATCAATGAAATGCCGATTAGCTACACAGGCAGGTCTTAGATTTATTTACATTTTCTGGGATGTAAATGTATGGAAACGATCGTGGCCACAACGTGGGGGATCAATTTATATATTGATGTAATGTAGAATCGGTCCCCCACTTTATATCCACATTATAATTTTTTTTGTTTGTTGATAAGCCATAGAAAACGCATCCAGCAATCAATGAAATACTGACTAGCTACACAGGCATGTCTTTTAGATTTATTTAGATTTCTTGGAGTATAAATGTACAGAAAACACCGTGGTCAAAAAATGAGGGATCCGTTTCTATATTGATTTTAATATAGAATTGATACTCCACTTTATATCCACATTATAATTTTTTGAATCCACCTGTTCTCCCCGTAGCTATAGGTTAATTTGTCAGAATTTTATCGCTAAACTATTATTATCTAAGAAAAAAAAATTCTTACAATATAAAAATATTTTCTGGCTTTTAATAACCTGCAAAGGGTTGATAAGCTGTAAAAAATCAATCAATGACAACATTTCTTTTTGTACACATTAACTTAACAGGCGATACAGGTTCGAGTTTAAAGAACGATGTTACATGGCATCTCCAACAGCAATTTAAAACAGTAGTTTAGTCGTCGACCTATTTCTAAAATATTTCTGCTCACCGTTCTTCTTAATATGTCGTAACAATTGATTTACCTTAGACGGGAAATGCAAATTTTGCGGTTGCATGTTCAAATTACTGACGCAACTGAACGTCGGCCGTCCATTTTATGAAATGTTCAATATTTATATAGCAATAGAAAGGTTCTCAGTGATTATATGTACACGTTAAGAAAATGCGTCGATGCGTGGTGGGGTGAGGGAAGCGATGTGTCTTTTACGAGAGTACACAAATCAATTTATGAAACTAAATTGATGGCTTCCCAACTAGAAGCAGAGGAATTGATCAATTGAGGAATCAGTTGGTTATAGGATCGTAGCTTTTATAAGCTCATTTCCAGAACAGTTACGGCAAATTATTTCAAATCGACTAAAAAGATGGCGGTGGGGAGATGAAAAAGAAAGGAAAGATTGTAAGTGTAAAGGAAAAAGTGTTAGACGGAACGAACGGAGAAACGAAGGGAAAATAAATACGAGAAGAAAAAGAAAAAGGACTAACAAAGGGGGAAAAGACGACGAAAGAGAAAATAAAGAAAGAAATAAGGATGAAGGAAAGAACGAAGAAACGAAGGAGAAAGGAACAAGAGAGAGAGAGAAAAAAAGAAAAGAAAAACGAAGGACGAAAGAAAACAAAAGAGAAAGGTAAAATGGAAGACTGAATGAAATAGACGTAAAGAAGAGAGAAAAATGAAGTAGTAGTAGTAGGAGGAGGAGGAAGAGGGGGAGAAGAAGAAGAAGAAGAAGAAGAAGAAAAAGGTGGAGAAAGAGGAGAAAAGGAAGGAGAAGAAGAGTAAGAAGAAGAGGAGGAGGAAGAAGAATGAATAAAAAGTAAGAGAGAAAAAAATAAGTAGTAGTAGTAGTAGGAGGAGGAGAAGAAGAAGAAGAAGAAGAAGAAGAAGAAGAAGAAGAAAAAGGTGGAGAAAGAGGAGAAAAGGAAGGAGAAGAAGAGTAAGAAGAAGAGGAGGAGGAAGAAGAATGAATAAAAAGTAAAAGAGAAAAAAAAGTAGTAGTAGTAGGAGGAGGAGAAGAGAAAGAAGAAGAAGAAGAGTAAGAAGAGGAGGAGGAATAAGAATGAATAAAAAGTAAAAAAGAAAAAAGTAGTAGTAGTAGTAGTAGTAGAAGAAGAGGAAGAGGAAGAAAAGAGGAGGAGGAAGATGAATGAGTAAAAAGTAAAAGAGGGAAAAGAAGTAGTAGTCGTAGAAGAAGAAGAAGAAGAACAACAACAACAATAAATAGGTGGAGAAAGAGAAGAAGAAGAAGAAGAAGAAGAAGAAGATGAGTAAAAAAAGAGGAGGAGGTAGAAGAATGAATAAAAAGTAAAAGAGAAAATAGAAATAGTAATAGTATTAGTAGAAAAGCAAGAAGAATAAAAACGTGGAGAAAGGGAAGAAGGAGTTGTTAATGAAGAAGAAGAAGAAGAAGAAGAAGAAGAAGAAGAAGAAGAAGAAGAGGAGGAGGAGGATAAGAGAGATGGCGGAAAACAAAATAATAAAGAAAAAAAATTACCGAGTGAGAAAACTGGAAGAGACAACGAAAGGAGATTGCCAAAGGCAGCGGGAAAAGACAATAACGAAGAAGAAATGAATCCAAACCGAGTAAAAAGAAAGAAAAGAAAAAACGGAAAGGAAGAAAGAAAGAAAAAAAAAGGAAAGGAAAGAATGAAAAATGACAAAAGGACGACACAAGATAAATAAAGAAGAAAAAGAATAAGAAAAACGAGAAAACGAAACAAAGAAATGAGAAGAGAACGAAAATGAAACAAATATGGCGACCGGTCTTCCCTAAGGAAGGCGATTGTCAAGCAAGTGAGCACGAACGAAATCTTCACTTAATTTGCAAATCAGCGCATATTTCACAAGCTGCTTTTCCGCAAGCTAATGAATCCAATCGTTCATATAATATAGTTTCCATGATTAGTTTATAGAGTTCCAAATCGATGCAGACGTTACCATAGTTAGATAAATTCAAATATCCATACTTACAACTGAACCCAAATATTTAAATGAACTCTTATATATATATATATATATATATATATATATATATATATGTATGTGTGTGTGTGTGTGTGTATGCAGCAAAGAAAGAATAGTTTAACGGTTTGATTGATAGAATTGAAAATAAAATAGCTAAATTGTGGTTGATCTGAAGACCGAAACAATGTAGATAGATAAAAAGATAGGAATAAATTGATGTAGGAAGATAATGCAAAGACTGATATATATATATATATATATATATATATATATATATATAGATAGATAGATAGATAGATAGATAGATAGATATGAATATAGACAGATAGAAACAGACTAAGATATATACGAACAAAGATAGATAGATAGATAGATAGATAGAAGCAGACTAAGATAGATACGAGTAAAGATAGATACGAACACAGATAGATAGATAGATAGATATGAGATAGATAGATAGATAGATAGAAGCAGATTAAGATAGATACGAGTAGAGACGGATACGAACACAGACAGATAGATAGATAGATAGATAGATAGATAGATAGATAGATAGATATAGATAGATGTCGCGCCAAGAGTGGATGAAAGATATGAAGAGATTGAGACAGATAGTTAAGCAGATATATAGAAAATACGGAAATAGAAGCAACTATGATAGATAGATTGATAGATACATAAATAGAAGAAGACAAACAAACACCCACACACACAAATATATATATATATATATATATATATATATATATATATATATATATATATATATATAATGTAAATCTATTTAAAATTAGTGGGCGAAAATACCTGTACAACACAATTTTCAAATAAATTGGCATCCAAGGAAAAATGGAAAAAAAAAAGAAAGCACCAGAAACATCCACACAGGACGAAATATAGCGTCCATTACCGTAAATCTCTGATACGAAGAAAAAAAAACAGCGAGTAATAAGTTAAAACGAAGAGTGTTCAATATACTAATTAGTACAAAAGTGAGCCAGATACTATCTACCTAGGTTTCAACACATGGGATCATCTTACTTTTCTCTTTTTTCACCGTGATGATCCCATGTGGTGAAACCTAGGTATATATATATATATATATATATATATATATATATATATATATATATATATATATATATATATATATATATATATATATATATATATATATATCAGCTGTCAATAACAACCTCGAGCGCTTAGCCTTGGAGTGGGTTGAGTGGAGAGCCACGTGTTTGAGTGTACTCAGCTGTTTTCAATCTGCTAGACTGAATCGTTTTCTAGAAACTAGAGCATGATCTAAAAGTTCAGCCAATCTAACAGCGACCTCATCCCACAATCCTCTCTCTTGATCCATATACGGTCTCCTTTGCAAATCATTTGCTGGTCTTAATTGTCACTTAAGATTATCGCACAAAATTTCATAACTGAATCAATTGGTTAAGCTGTCAGATCCTCATACGTCGACGGGAGAGTCCATTATTATTATTATTATTTTATTTCCTTTGATTTCTGGCGTTTACACATTTCTTTCCGGGTCGTGCTTAGAGACCTAAGGTTAGAAATAGCATCATGACACTTTCCACTGACAAAAAAAAATATTACATAGATAAAGCCCTTCGTAAAGTGTGGGCTGTACTTGTCAGAAAAAAATTTTGTATCTCCTTGAGGCATGGACTTCCAGGAATCCCTTCAATTAGTCTACTGCAATCTTTTCCAACCAGTCCTAGGGCTGCAACTACAACAGGGATTGTTGATGTTCCCATATGCCACATTTTTGAGATTTCTATTTCAAGGTCCTTGTATTTTGACAGCTTTTTGAATATATTATTATTATTATTATTATTATTATTATTATTATTATTATATGTATATAATTGCTAATTTGGACAGCACTCCCTCCTTTATACATGTTTCATTGCAGGCAGTGCGATTAAACTTTTTATTATAGATTTCTTACATTCATACAAGTGTTTGTTTTCTTTTCTCGGGACATAGAGTGTGTAAGACTTGTGGCCCCGAGAAATTTCGGATCATCTATTAGCCATTATCAAGATTTTTTTTTAATGTGTCGATATTTTTATGGCGATAGAGATGTTTTATTTTCCAAATACGTTCAACACGTTATGGCCATGTTCATAATTGATATCACTGAAAAATGATCTTTTTTTTAATTTTTTTAATTTTTTGGCTATGAAACGCCGAACCTTCTGCCTCTCACGCAGCAAATATTTGTGTTATCTCTATCAGGGTGCGAGAAGTTACAAAACCCATCAGAAAGTGACGGGTGTAAGGGGGGGGGTCTCAGAAAAAAATTCCGATGGTTGTTCTTAAGTACCTTAATTCGGAGTCATCTCCAAGTTTGGCAAAGTTTTTAATCGACGGCTGAAGGAGAAACGTTTCCAAATTCTATGGATGGCGTAGAATGTCTGTCTGACAGAATGCGGGTGAAAGCGCGCTCATTCTCATCTCGATATAAACCCATCAGCCTTCTTGGTTCAAACTTTTTTCAACTGATGATTAACAGAAAAATAAATTCTGACAGACAAACAGTATAGATTTCGCACTTGAAGTTCCACTGCTGATGTCCTGTCATTAAGAAAAGATTCAGCAAGGGTGTCGATAAAATAAGTTCATGTCGAAAGCGGTCGCCTTAGATATTTGTAAAGGACCTTTGACACGGTGGGGCGAAGAAAGCTGTTATTAATGACTGAAAGAAAGAAAGAAAGAAAGAAAGAAAGAAAGAAAGAAAGAAAGAAAGACGTGCTTACCGTTTCCTGTCAATACCTCATAAACAATGGAAAATCGATCTGGGTAAAATTCAAGGTATTTCCAACTTAGTTTATTGAATTTCTGGAGTAAGTCCTTATTCCACTGACAATACTTAGGGACATCCCGTCATGTATTTATTTAATACTGATTGGTTTATACTGAGTCTAAGACTTAACTAGCAGATTGAACTAACAATTACTATGCAACCCCATTCACGAAATAATGCTTCAAACCATTAGGTTACTGTCCCATGGGACAATCTTGTGTCTACAACTGAAATAATGACTAATTATATTGCCTGAAATTCAGAGAGAAAGTGATAAAGCATACTTTTCTAAAATTAACATTTTATTATAAAGAATGCAGATCTTGATTAACTTTGTTAAAGCATTATTCTGTGTTACCTGACGATCTATCTATCTATCTATCTTTCTATCTATCTATCTATGTGTTTATATGTATCTATGTCAGTGTTCATATCTATCTATCTATCTATATATCTATCTATCTATCTATCTATCTATCTATCTATCTATCTCAGTTTTCTTATCTTTCTGTGTTTATATCTATCTATCTATGTGTTTATATCTATCTTAGTGTTCATATCTATCTATCCATCTATCGATGTGTTTATATCTATCTATCTATCTATCTATCTATCTATGTTAGTGTTCATATCTATCTATCCCGGTTTTCTGATAGTTTTGTATGTGTGTATATCTATTGATCTATCTATCTATGTGTTTATATCTATCTCTCTATCACAGTGCTCATAACTATCTATCTATCTA